GAGTCCAAGGCGTTGCGCAGTTTCCGTCCGAGAACGGATCCTGTTATTTGAGGAAGTGGAGGAGCAACGCTCGATGCCGCGCGCTGTTCAGAGGTAACGGGTAACATCCCGAGCATTACACGCTTCCTTACTCCGGTGAAGGGCACAGCCGGTTCTGTGAAAAGCGCTTTTATCTTCTGTAGTAGAAACGTTTCAGTAGACGCGTCTTCCCCTTTCGGATGAGCGTGTTGTCGACGATTCGATTCATTCTTCGATTAATTATTGCTTAGACGCTGTTTTGTTGAAAGACGACAGTGTTTGGAGGTGACTGCAGGGCTGCCTTCTTTGCAGCATGTCAGTGTGACCTGAAGTATTGATCATACAATTCAACTTCTTATTCTTACCCTCTCAGAAGTTAATGCATTGCTGTGCAAGACCCATTTCGTCTGTGTATGCACAGTCTGAAGCTATGAACCCATTTAATAGACTGTGTGTGTGTGTGTGTGTGTGTGTGTGTGTGTGTATATATATATATATATATATATATATATATATATATATATATGTGTGTGTGTGTGTGTGTATACTGTATATATTCATGCTGCATCAGGATGCATTGTCTTATACATAATTAGGTGTCTGATTCCATATATGTGTGTGTGTGTGTGTGTGTGTGTGTGTATAAATATGGGATTAGACATCTAATTATGTATGACAGTGCATAGCTGCATTTGCATTTCCTGATGCAGCATGAATGACCACATTATGACGTTACTGTATAGCCTTCATAGTTGATGTATTATTCCTAATTATCAAGGAATTTGATCGTTACCTACAGTTACAACAACATGAGTTAGAATTAATTCAGCTGGAATTATACAGGAGTGATATTCCTCTTTTAGGTCCGAGGTGGAGTGGCAAGACTTATTTAAAGGGTGACAGCTGCCACCCTGTGCCAAAGACATGGCCACACCCCTGCTTACTCTACTGCACCTTTCATATTTCTGTTCAGATTTTATGCATATAATTGCTTACTGCATATTTGATGTTTTTAGTGTGCATGAGTGCAGAGTGATGCTTGCAGGATATTCTGCTTTAAGCACATGGCAGACTACATAGTATTGAATTGTAACTGATAATGCTGATCTTATGTGATATCAACACCTCTGTGATCTTACCTTGTCCCAGATAAGCATGTCCTTGTTTAGAACTAGTTGATGTGAAGCCTAAATGGAGTGTCTCATTACAGGGTCTGATGTGTAAATGTGACTTCTTTGTCTTAGCAGTGTCATCTGCAGGAACAGTGTTAAAATTGTCTTACTATGCCATTACTATTCCGGTCTGTTGATTTTGTATAAGCATTGTTCGGTTAATCTCTAACTTGCCCAGCATGTCATACCAGGATATGTGTTTTATACATTTTCAGACATGGATTTGCAACATTTCATGCCTATGTACACTTAATGTGCAGTTTAAAAAGATTCTCTTGCCTTGAATTGAAAGCACTTGACTTGCACTTTTCCTTCAGCCACGAGTTAATTGATACTGCATGCAAACCTGAAACCCGAAAGGACATGGAGAAAGCAGCAATTATAGGTTAGTGTTTAATGGCCTGCTGGTGCTAACAAACCCAAAGAACCGTCAGTGAACAAAGACGAATGTTCCGTCAGTGAACAAAGACGAATGTTGAAGGGGCAGCTTAATAGTTTAAATCCGCAATCAGGAATGTGCCAGGCCAGTGGTTAGGATGGCAACAATAAAAACTACGAAGCAAAACAACAGTGCAACAACACCACAGTACCAGAACTGTATTAGAAGCAGGTGTGTGCAAATTCATTTAGCTAGCATAAGCTAAAAAGTGGCAACTAACATAATTTAGCTCAAAAGTATGACAAGCTAATTATGTGCATTAATAGAGACTGTGGAAAATAAGAGAGTACCTGAATCCTGGAAGGGGCAACTTTACGTAGCCAGTCTTTATCCTCTCCTGATAATGTCTCTTGTGATGAAGCATCATGTTTGTGCCCTTGACAAAAAGCCAGAAAGTCTTTAGCTAACATTTGAGCTATGAGGTCTGGAGTTCTCTCATCGCACATGAAGGTGTTAATGGAGTCTGGCTGGTGTTTTCATTTACTCTCAACGACGCGTTTAATTGTGAGGTGGCTGTGTGATGTTCTAGCATGATAGTTTTTGTGCTGCACTGCTCATTTTTGTCACTGTTTCTGGAAAAATTGTTTAGCATCCGTTCAAGCTAATCAATAGTGAATCAATAGTGAATAGTGGAGAGTTCCTACTGAGAGCCAGTCTATGTCCTCGGTTCAGGTGTGTAGTGCAGCAGGTTGCAGGATTCAGAAAGTGTATTGTGCACCACATCAAGGTCATTTTCTACACGGAGAATAAGAATACACAGTCAATAGCTGGTAGGGTTTTTTTTTTCCTTTGGTTGTTAGACGAGTGAAATAAAAATTAAAAAAAACTTGCAACCATCACGTCAACATCCTAATGAACCCACTTGTCCACTGTGCACCGTGAATGAAAAACTAATAGCCTGGATACATAATCTGCTTGTCCTGGTACATGGTAACTAGTGATTTATCCACCCCAGAAGAATACTGTTATACCACACTGAGTAATACAGTATACCACACTGTTATTAAGCCAGAGCTGGCATTGATTTCTGGGCTTTTTCAATGGGAAAATAAAGCATTTAAAATAAATACCAGCTTGGGTGTTTGGTGGTAAGTTCTATTCGGCCATTGATACTAAGCATTATGAAGAAAATGTCCGAATGTAAATTTTACTAAAAAGACTTAATGATCACAGAAAACAGTGTTTCACAGTATCCTGCCTGCCACAGAAACAAGATATCCTCTTGATAGTTATTTCCCCTAAAAGTTGTGTGCTCTGTCCACCACACCCTGTTGAACCCTATTGATAGGCAAAGTGATGTGACACTATGTGGAAAACCCCAGTGTCCTTGAAGTGAAAGCAGACTTTGCTGAAAGCTTTGCATTTCGAAAGCAAAAAAAAAAGAAGAAGAAGAAGAGTAGAAAACAGGAAGCTGCTGCTCAGAGGAATTTTAAACCATTGCCAGCACTGGATCCAACTCACCAGCTGCCACCTCTTGCTTTTCCTGTCTGCAGTTTGATTTTCTCCAGAATTACAAGCACTAAAAAAACCAGGTGAAAATGATTGTGTGAACCAAACGTTACACGCAATGATAAAATTTTCCACAAATCATTGGTGAAAATACTTACTTTCTTATACCAATAATCATCCATATAAGAACCTCTAGATTTGAGTCTTATTTATGACACTGTGTTCTAAATTAAAGAGGAAAGCCCACGTGCACATACCTAAGCACATATGGAGGCTGGAAACCAGAAGACACTCAGTGCTGTTTAATACAAACTCCTTCTTGATCTGTTGAATTTAAATTATAAAAGGTGTAGTGTTTTAATGTTTGGCAGCTGAACAAGGATTCCACTCTGTCACATCTTACTGGGAAGTAGGAAGGATGTTAGCTCCCTGCTTGTTTTCCTTCGCTGTAATGGGAGGAGCGATGGGTAGATGTGAGCTGAGGGGTATCATGTGTGCTCTGTTTAGAAACAGGGACAGTGGAACCTGCAGGCTACATTTGCTTATGTGGTCTACTTAAGGCTTAGACACTAAATGACATTGCAGAAGCAGAAATATTTCTCTGTACTCTATCTTTTGAGGTTGTCCTGTCCCCCAACCACTTTGAAACAAATGCACGCACACACACACACACACACACACACACACACACACACACACACAAATAACTAAGTGGTTATTTTTCCAGAACATTGTTGCGTAACTCTCAGTGTTTTAACTCTCATTTGAGTGTTTTGGCACTTTTAAATCAGCTTTCACAGTAAACATGGTGGGAAACACACACATCTTGGAAGCTGTTGGAGGTTGTTAGTGTTGTGGTTTTTTTCCCTCCGTCTCAGCTGGTCTCCTCAGAAAGCATCCTGTCTCTTAATGATTGTGAAAACATTTTCTAGCTATGTGTGTCCCAGTCAGCCAGGCAGTCTCTGCCACATACATATTGCCAGACAGCTATCAGTTTTACAGTATTTACCCTGTGCATGACTCTGGAATTAGACTCTCGGGAGAAACACATATAATCATTGAAATATTTCCTTGCTGTCTATTTCATTATGAGCATTCAGGCTTAATACACCCATGAGTTACATATTGGATGCATTATCACAAAGACACATGATAAAATTAATCACATGATTATCATTTCGAAAGTGAGACCATTTGTTTCACATTACAAGGAAAAGCACTTAGCAGCATTTTTAAAATCTCCTATGAGCCCCACCTTTTTTTGTAAATGTGGGAGTTTCTGAGCATTTCTTGGATAATTTGCTACAGTTTTCCTGTAGGGATGTGAATTTTGGCTCAGTTTAGGGAGTCAGAGCAATCGTTTCTGCTCACTAATAAGAGCCATGTGTCTCCAAATGCCTTCTTGGATTGACAAATACAGTATGCATGTCGAATCACTGCATTAATATTATTGTGTCTGCAGTGTCTGTACTTAATTTTCATTAAAGTAGAAGCATCAGTTCTATGTAGACAGAAAAGTGACAATAGAATACGTCCTAGGAGGGTTTTGTTGTCTTTACTTAATCTGACAAGCTTTGAAAGAGCTCTAGTGGAGCATGCAGAGGAAGGAGTCAGTTGTCCCCTCTGGTAGACTTTGAGTAAACAGTTGGAGTTAAAAGCAGATGGCTCTGGTTGTGGAGGCATGTTTGGTGGCCCACCTGCTGTAAACCACTATTTAATAACTTTCTCTTCACCTCCCTTCAAAAATGCTTAACACACTGTGGCTCTTGAGCAAAGAACCTTTTTGCACTAGTTCAGTGCCACTACCACATAGTGATTTCACATTGCATAAGGTCTACTACAAAATATGTAACTTCATTTCTTGTAAAAATATGAGAAGGGAGAATTTAGTAATGTCAATAAACAAAACATAATATTTACATTCCCTGGTGTTCTAGCGGCTAAGGATCCCGCACTCTCATTGCCACGGCCCGGGTTTGATTCCCAGGCAGGGAACCACAGGGGTGTATTCCCAAGCTCGGATAAAATGGGAGGGTTGCGTCAGGAAGGGCATCCAGTGAAAACCTGTGCCAAATGAAACATGCAGACCAATGATCCGCTGTGGTGACCCCATAACGGGAGCAGTTGAAAGAACAACATGTACATTCCTCTTATTCTGTTCAATTACATATTTAGAATTGGCGAAATAATGTTAATATTTACAGGGGGAAAGTTACTCATATTCAGAGTTAGTTACACACCTTCTGGGCTTCTCATTCAGATCATTAACATTGATGATTAACCAACACGTAGTTAATGCATCTGTAGTTGCCAGTTTCATCTTGAGTAGAAACCGGGGACTGGGGTTTTCAGTAGTGTCTAAACCACTGCCTTTAAACGCAAATCTTACAGCCCCAAAATATCAGGGATAGAAAATGCGGATTGAAGAACTTTCTTTCCTGCCACTAAAATAGCAAAACATTTGGAATATGAAAATAAGGTAATCTTAAATCTGATAGGCTTCAAGATTCATGCATGATCCAAGCTAATGGTATAGAGATAGTAAGGTGCCAAGCCCAGTCACTATTGAATTCCAGGAGGACCAAGAATGTTAAGAATGCCAGAATGCTCTAGGTGTGGTTAGACAGCTGAGGTTACTTCACAGTCTTGTTTCATAAGACTCTCCATAATATATAAGATTATATTAAAATAAAAATAATTAGAGACTCCTAAAAAGGTATCTGAAGATCTGAGTAAAATTTAGTGCATGTATTGCCTGGTACTTTCACCCATCAAATGATAATGAAGGCAGGGAGTGTATTCACTCTGGCTAAATAAAGAAGGGTAATCAGTGGTTGCAAATAGGATTGAAGATGGTACACCAGAACCTTTCCCTTTTTTCACACACACACACACAGATCAGCTCTTCTTCCATCCTGTGCTCGTTAGAGGGATCTGCTGTGTATGGCCTCCTGTTGAAAGATACCCTGGTGACAAAAAGGGCTCCAAATTGGGTTTGGCAGTGCTCTGAAATGAAGGCGATGATAGCAAAATGCTGGGTCACTGTCGGAAATTACAAATGAAGGCAATGGCGTGAGTCATGCTTTAAGGATTACGCTCCACTGCTCAGACCAGAGCTTGATGCTGAGCCAAGCCTCACATGTAAGACCACCCTAATTTCCAAACAAGCATATAAATTTGTCACATCTCTCTTGTCTTGCCTATTACTTATTTCACCCAAGATTTTCCAGCTCATTGGCCTCAGCTTATTTGACCAATTCTGACTGGACTAGAATCTAGTATCAACAGAAGCTCTACTATCATTCAGTTCAATTTATATTACGTTATTTAGCATATGTTTTCAAGTGCGTTGGCAGCAGGTGGATGATGTGTGTTATGTCATCTTCATCACTATATGTACAAATTTGTTGTTATTGCCTTTTTATGGTCTAGGCCAGCTTGTTTCACAGCAGGATTATTCCCAACCAAATCAGCCTTACTATGAAGTGTGTGCTTTAAATGAAGGCTTATACAAAGAAACCACTACTCAAATTGGATGCAAATTGCTACAAACCTTTGATACCTTTGATAATAGCTATGACAAAGGCTAACTAGGAATCAGTTCTAATTATTGCTCTACAAACATTAAGATTGAATGCACATCCAGAATGTCATTGTCTTCTAGTAACAACATGTGATGCTTTTAATACTATTCAATACAATCAAACTAATGGGTCTGAATTTACATACAGCTGTTAAAAAGGTCTTGATAAGCTTTTTCAGATGTGAGTTGTGTAAATGCACATATGTAATATTTATGTTAGAAGCAAAGTATCACTCTTAGTGCAGTCATTGTTCCTGAATAACACGAGACCCAACTGGAAAGTGTTCTCTGGCATGAATCAGAATAGTAATTAAAGATGGTCTAGCACATTTCCATCAAAATTGCATTCGCTTCCCTACATGTAATCGAAGAGAAGCACATCATTATTTTTTCTGGTCCTGCATTATGGAAAGCTATCCAAAGCAAAACCAGTATGCTTAATGAGAAGAAGTACAAAAGCTACTGTGCTGTGGACAGTTGGGCTAATCCCTATTAACAGTGATCAGAGGCAACATTTCAGTTCTCTATGTCACGGTAAGAACTGCCAACCACAGAGTGAGGTGAATTTAAGTTCAGTTGTTCATTTGGAGCTGAGAATGGTAGAGTGCAACTGTTGGGTAGTCAGTGTTTGAAATTCTGCATTAATCCAGGATATTTTTAGTATCTTGTAGAGGGATGGACAGACACTGATTCCATCATTAGCAAGCCCACTGGACAAAAGAAAGCTCCAATGTGCTCCCTAGCCCATGTTTTGGCTTCCTGAAAAACTAATTTACTAAAGTAATAATAGTTAGATAGTTGTGTGCATTAATAAAAACTAAGGGAACTGGCCGAGTATGAATTTGTAGCCATAGTCCTTATCCTCTCCTCAGGACTATGGCTACAACGTTCCAGCGTTCTCTCCTTGCACCACAACTTAAAATATTTGACGCTGTTTCACTGCAATGTAATATATATATATATATATTGTGCTAACAGGAGAGTTATATGGCGACTTTGTGCTACACTATTTTGCTCGGTTTTGTCAATGTCCACATACCTGTGTGTTGATTCAGAAAAGATCAGCTGTCATCCATTCATGGTAATCAATCCACCTAGAAAAAATTTTCTACCGTCAACCAGATTGCCCCTGCCGATGTGTGTAGTGCAGCAGGTGATGGGATTCAGAATGCACCAATGACAAAGAACTGATGAACTGATGCTCCTTGAAGAACTGATGCTCCATATTGACTTTTAGTGTGGAAAAGGACTACAGAGCCAAAACTTTACTGACTATGCACATGACGATAACCAATGCTAGCTTCACATGTTTCTTTTTCAATGTGTCTGTTTTGCATGCTGCAGTTTCAAGCACAGCTTGCATCATCTCATATAAACCTTGCTGTGTTTACAACAGCTATGAGGAGACCATAAGGCTCCAGCCATTAGCCAATGCTAGATCACAGCACAGAACAGCCATAAATTTTGACTCAGCAGTAAAAAGAGGCCATCATTCATCTCATTCAAGTCTTCATCATGTCTGTGGCATCTTATGTATATCTGGTCTGAGAGAGGTATTCAGATTGAAGTGCACTGGCTTAGCTGTAATGGCCAGTATAAAGTTATGCATCAATCTCCGACAATGAAGACCACTGCAAGACAAGGCTTTCTTTCATCACAATTGAATTAGGAGTCAGTTTGAGCTTTTCCTCACAGCTCATCAAAGCCTTTTCAGATCTTTGTGTATCACATGAGAGTGATCAGGCATTGAGGCTCCAGGCCAAATCAGATCTTTAGAATACCGTCTTGAAAAGGTGAAAATGATGAAAAGAGAAAACGTTGCCAGTGGCAGTCGGATCTCAGTGAATATCATACTCAAATATCCAAGAAGTTGCTCCAAGAATATTACCAAGATGACAATCCACCCAAGATATATATTTATATGGCCACGTAGACTGTATTTGTTCATAAAATTTCTATAGAAACAATGAATATTTACATTTTCCAAACCTCTAGCAGGAGGAACCTCCAGCAGCCCTTTAGTGATTTGGTCTGTCCAGCTCTCACACCTCCTCATCTGTACACTCTGCCTCACAAAGTTTTCCGAAGCTTCAAATATCATGTTAATACACACCTTTGCTTGTCATCTCGTAAATCACTAACTAGCAGAGCCGAGTTGCTGCCATAACTCAGTGCAGCTGCATCGCATAGCTGCATTGCATGTTGGAATTTTGAGTCCGACATTTCCCATCTCCATACTTCTATGTTGGATTTATCATTATCATGACACTGAATGTTTTTGAGTGTTTTTAGGGGCTGCCAGTGAAACCTGACTGTTAACCCTTATGTTTGAGAATTTTTGTCTCCTATTAAATGTCATTGTAATAACTGTAAACTTCTCACAAGAATAACAGAAGATACAGCACCAACCAAAAATACCACTCACTAAGCTCATTACAAAGATTTCAGTATAAACACAGTTAATGTAGATTATTCATTTAATTCTTACTTTTGTGGTATTGCTAAAAAAAAAAAAAACAGATATTCCAAAAGTTATAGCATTAGATATCATTAATGATAAAATCATCCATTACCACTATTCTCTGTAGCACACGCTGGAATAAAATGGCATATGCAGATTAAATAGACACAGCAAAGGCCAGAATTAATTACATAATCTAATCTGAGAGGATGGACATATAAAAGCATAGTTGAATCTGCACTTGAAAGATAAATTAACAAAGCTGGCATTTGCAGCTGTGCTTCTAAAACCCAGTGGGACTTTGAGATTCTGCTTTTAGCTCATCTGCTTAGCAGGAAGAAATAAATTTGACACACTGTTCTCTTCTCATTTCTTTTCGGAATGTTATTGCTGAGTTGTTTTTTGTTTTTTTTAGTTTTCTCTTCATTTACCGTGTTAAGCAAGCCAACACAATTATTTTTTTTATTCATTTTATTCATGATTTTTTTTATTATTCAGTGTTTGTGTCTGTGGATTTCAAACTAATGTACTAATGCTTTTTTATGTTCATTCAGCCAATAGGAAAATATCTAGGAATAGTGGAAAATGTATTACCCTTGTTGATTTATGGAAATAAATCATAATCATAATAACAAAATCACAGCCTACTTTGTTTTCATCCGTAATCTTCAATCACTACTTATTTGTACTCCAAATATCCATATGCCTGTGTTTCTATTACAATTGATTTAATATATATATATATATATATATATATGTGCACTTTGCTTTGAGAATGCATGCTCAGCAGTATGTGCTTGGCAAAGGAAATTCAGCTCAGCCTACAGGCTAGCAGGAATGCATTAACAGAGACACACCTGGGTACTGCATGATTAACAGTGTTAAAAGCTAGGTTCTAACAGTGAATTAAATAAATACTATACCATAATTTCATTAATAATAATAATAATA